TGTAAGAGAAATTCAGATAGGTTTGTTAGACTATTAAGTGTATCAATGATTTTGTCTTTGGTCCAAATTGTTTCGTCGAAGGGAGTTTGGATCTTTTCTTCTTTTCTGGTTGTTAGTTGTCTAGACCAGTTTAGTTCGTAGTCTTCTTGTATGTCTTCTTCAAGGATCATCAAGTCTAAGTTAGTATTTTGTTTGAGGGCTTGACTATAGGAGAGCTGAGGTTGTTTGGGTTGCTGCTTATTAATGTTGAAATTATTAGTTGTTGATTCTTCGGTTATCATATCAGAATTATGACTATTAGAGCTATTTAGATGTTCTGTATGTGGTCCGATTTGTTGTGCAGATGTTTGTTGATCATCTATCTGTTGTTGCTTATTTAGGTTATTAGTTGTGTTGTGATTTCCTGTAGCTGTTGTGTTTGTGTTGTTGTATCTATTTTCAGTTGTTGTTGTTGTTGTACTGAGTGCACATGATGTGATATTGTGTTTTGGAGGAAGTAAGCTAGTTTGCTTACTTTTTTCTCCTTGAGTTGTATTGCGGAAAGTTGAGTTGTCAAAGCGCCACTTTTTGGAGTAGTTGTTTTGGCTATTTTGATATTGCTAGTACTATCCATTGCTGTCTTGTTGTCTGTTAATAAACTATGAGTGAATTGGTTAGAGTTTCTCAGTAGCTTTTTTGTATAGTTAGGTATTGCCTGATCCTTAAAGGACAGGCTTGTGTTATTGGAAGGACTTTTCCTCTTGTTAGAGTTGTTGATTTGAATTTCTTTAGGCAGTATTGTAGTTAGTGTGGAGTTTGTAGTTTGTATTATCTAAAATAATAATTAATTATTTAGTTATTATTAGCAGTATATGTGGCAGTTGTTATTTTTCTTTCTTCCGATTGTTGTTTTTAGTGATCGTTAGAAAGAGTTTTTTTTTTCTCAAATACCTTTACTTTTGTTTCTTTAATATTATAATTAATAGATGCAACATTACCTAATAATCTTTATATAAATTCATCTTCTAACTTATACATTTTTACTTTCTTCAATATAAAATTCTAATCATATCCAAAGATATTGTATCTACAATCAATATCTGGTCTGTAATTTCCTACTATTTCTGTAAATTTTAATATTATTTCTTCTAATGTTTTGCAATATATAAACTCAAAATTATTCATTGATATCTGATATATTCTCTCAAATAATTCTTTATCAACATATATCGAAGTTAATAATAACATTTAATAGGTTTTTTTTTAAATAACCAATAAAGATCAACTTGTATCATGTATATATAATCTTCTTTCTGTTTACCTACAGAAAAATAACCTAGTCCACATGTACTACTAGTCTCAATATCTCATAACAATATAAGAAGTTTTAGTTGTTCATTATAATCTATTTTTTTAATATCTGATAGCTTTATACTGATAAATTCTGTAAGTGTAATATCTGGATTTAATAATCTATACTATCCTACTATCTCAAAATTATTCTCACGTGCTATTTTCTGATAATGACATGAAGGATCATCAGAATAAGTATCATAGCATTTCCAAAATTTTTTTATTCATTCATATATTTCCTTTTCATCTTTTAATGAATTTTTTACTTATTCAAATTCTTCACTTAGATCATCTTCAATTTTTTTTATCTTTTCAAGTGCTTTTTTATGAAAAGTATGGTCTTTAAAATATAATCGTATAAATTTATGTCTCTCTATTGAATCAAATAGTTGCTTCTCAAAAATATCATAACTATCTGATTCAAACTCATCAACATATTCATCAATCATTTCTTCATCATTTAATCTAATATCAAAAAAGATATCACCAATTATCAAATCAATACTGATCTTTTTTCTATTAGTTTAAACTGTATGTAATTTCATTATATATCTATTATTTTTATCTTTAGTATCAGTAGCATCATATATGAAAAATAATCTACTATCAAGTTCTTTATTAAACAGATCAGAACGATTACCAATATTTGGTTTTTTAAAAATATTAGAATAATTTTTTATTTGAGTATTTTTTATTAAAGATATTTACAAATATAAAATTCTACTTGGTACAATTGTACTAAGTAAATAAATATTTATAAAATTTAAATAAAATATAATTTATATTTTAAAAGGTGCTAGTAAGTATAGTTTGAACTATTACTCTATCAAATATTCGATAATAATCATCGAGAACTTGTTTGTTAATTTTTTTTTACTATCTTTATCTAATACATATTCATCTTTATCTTTCAAATATACATCTTCCTCTGTATCAAATACAATATGTTTTGAATACATTTTACTGATAATTCTTTCATATTCTCTATAAACTTTTCGCATATACTCTTCTGTATATGTTTCTCCTTCTCTGTTTCTTTCCCTCTGTCTTTTAATTGAAGTATTTTCAGTACTCTTTATGTAAAACACATATTTAAAATTACATAAATCAATCATTTCACATTTTGTTTTCAAGTAAAATGATTTTAGATCATCATCAGAATTAATATTATTGAAAACTTCTGTATTAAGATAAGTTCGATTAAAAATGATTATATCATAATCATCAGTTGCAGAGTCAATACTTTTCATCATCTTTTTGTATGTATCAATAATCAAATCTTGAAAAAAGAATAGTATTTCTTTTTATCTTTACAGAAAAGATCTAAATCCTCTTTAATCTTAAGAGAAATCTCTTCAAGAATTAATACTTTCAATCCTTTTTTCTTAAAATATTTTGACATAAATGAAGAAAGAGTTGTTTTTCTTGCTTCAATAGTTACAGTAAGAACTATTTTTTTTGCAGTAAACTTTTTTCTTTTTTTAATACTAATCCTGTTATTTTCAAATAAAATATCAGGATATTTTTGTCTTAATTTGTTTCTTGCTTTTTCTTCTACTAAATCTATAAACCATTTTTCACTGGTTAATTCTTGTTCAATTTTATGATAATTATTTTTAAGTTCTTCTTGAAGAATAATATTTTCTGCTTTATCTTCTATATTTTCAATTTCAATATATTTTCTTTTTTTTGTTTTACAAAATTCTTCATTAGACATCTTAAGATTACATTTAAAAAACTCTACCTAGTGATAAATTCACTAGATAGATTAAATATATTTAAAATAAAATATAGTCAATATAGATTGTTTTTTCTTCTATTATTTTTAGAATATATTCGACCAATTCTGATACAACTATTGATCTTAATACCAAATATATCAGTATTTGTCTTCTTATCAGTAGTTATATTTTCAATAACAATTTTTTCTTTTGAATTTTTTTGAAGTTTCAATTAAGTTTCTTTGATTCTTTCAATAATATTTTTCTCATTACATAATATTAAATTTAGTTTTGAATTTACTGCATAATTTTTAGATCTAGCTGAAAATGTAGCATTCAATATAAAAAATCCAACAGTACCATCAGGTTGTTCCATCAAAACTGCTACAAATTCTCTAATATCTTTAGGACTAACATATATTTCATTATCATCAATCTTAGTCCTATATTTTGCTTGCATTATATAATTCATTGTTCCAAATTTTCCAAATATATCAATACCTCTATCTCCAATTGGTATGAATTAATTATCCTTTTTGATATATGTTTTAGTTAAATTAGCTTCAATACCATTTTTAACTAATTTGATTATAAGATCTGCTTCATAATCATCTTCTTTCTCTTTTGTTGATTTTTTCTATTTAATAAAAAAAATATATTAGTACATTTGCATCATATTATGAAATTTCACTATGTTTAACAGATAGGTTTAATTCATAAGATCTTTTCATTAAATATGATATCTTTCTTTAAAAAAAATATTTACTCTTGTCCTGATTTGATATTATATCAAATTTCAGAATCAAGAGAAACAATATCTTTAGCAGCATTTACAAGATTCTATTAGAGCAGAATTATACTATGAAAGTTACTATATTTTAACTGAAATAGAATCTTTTCACCAAATCAGAAAAATATCATACTTTCAAATATCTATTCTTGTTCTGATCTAATATTCTATCGATTTTACATATCAAATTTCAGAATCAAGAAAAATAATATTCTATAACAGTGTTCACAAAATCTTAGTACTAAGTAAGATTAATAAAAATCTTACCTTTGTTACAACCATCATAAAGATTACAAAGTTAAAATTCTGTTCGGTAATTAACTCACTAAACAGATTATGTTTGTTAAAAATAATTTATATATAAAATAAAAAAAAAAAATAAAATAATAAATCCTAAATAAAAATGATGTTGTCATTTTTTTCCAAGGCATTATCCAAATATTTCACTATGACCAAATCAACTCTGTAATTAAAAAAACAACTAACAACTTCTTCATCAAGCTCTCTAATTCTTTACTTTTCTGGTTTAATGATAAAATCTAGAATAACAGAAACTAAATTCATCACGAATAGGAAACTACTCATAGTAGCTCTCAAAAAATTAAAAAAAATACAAACCGAATATATCTTCCTTAATCTATATCTAACTAAACTACTACCATAACCTATAATACTATTATAGATACTTATATTCAAAAATGTTTTCTTCAAAACTTTTCTATATATAGTTGTTTTTTCTAATTAATCTTCTCTTTTTTTTAGAGGTCTCCCTTAACCTCCACTATAGTCGATAGTAACTTTGTTTAAATCAGCTAGCAAATAGAAAATTAGAGTGTAATATCATATTAGATGTTTAACTATTAACAAATAGTCTTAGTAATGACAATGCACATTAGGAATATATATTAACTTCATATATATACTATCCTGATATATAAATATATTGATTCTTTTTCTAACTGATATTATCAATTAATAAATAAATAAAAAAAAAAAAAAAAAATCACTAACTATAACAATACTAAAAGAATAGTCATAATACCTAGAAAAATTTACTTTTTCTTACAATTACCTAGTAGCTACTTTATCAAACTACTTCTACTCCCTAGTGACTCTACGGATCTTAATGAGGAATTAAAAAACTTCTTCCCAATTACAAAATGAAAAAACCTCAAATACTTCTTCTTTTACTGTAACAAATTTCATAACCTTTACAACTTCAAAGGCAATCTACCTAATTCATATTTCAACCTCCCTTCTCTCAAACCCCAACTACCAAGTATCTATCATAAGCTCAACTACTCAGTCCGTACACTCTTTCCATCTGATACAAGCAATCTTAGTACTAATATTACCACTATCGTTACCTTCTTATGCAAACATTATATATTCAAAATGATACCTAATGACTACTTTATCACTAAACTAACTCTACCACAAGATCCAACCAAAATCCAAACAGATACTAACTTTACATATCTATTACTGAAGATGACATAGCCAAAGAATTCTTCTAACAAGCATCAAAAAGATATAAAATCATATTCCCAATTCCAACATATATAATAACTGCTAACCTAACTAACAAACCACTACTTCCTAACAGAATATCTATTACTATCAATCATAGTATCTCATTCCCAATTATATCACAACAACAACTAATTGATACAGTAAAGACCTTCTGTACTCACTACTACTTCAACAAAATCCCAAACTAATAGATTAACATATTTACAAATACTAAAGAGAAAAATCTAGCTACAACTGATAAAAAGACTAAAACTCTACCAGATATCCCTACATCTCTAGAAGAACTACAAAATCAACTAAATACAAAACAAATCAACATCAACATTCCTATTATAATATAGAAAGAAATCAATTTTACATTACAAATTCTACGACAAAACTATATCATTAACCAAATACCTGACTATCTCTTAAACCTACTACCTCTACCTAACCCTACTTGAAACCTTTTTATCTAACCCAAAACATGAAGACATATCAACAACAAACAACTGATATATATAACTCTATACTATTCTTCAATATTTTTAACAATCTAACTAATACTACTTTTTCTTTACCTACAAGTACTTATACTACTATACCCCAAAGGTTAACCACATCTCATTTCTTCAAAATAGCTACACATAATATACAAGGGTTTAATACCATCACCAAAAAACAACTATAAACAGAATACTGCTATAACAACAACTATGATATAATCAGTATCATTGAAACTAAGCTATCTGAAAACTCATAGCATAATACCTCACTATCTAACTTTGCATATCTTTTTTATACATCTAACAACAATCTATCTAGCTTCATCTATATACAATAATCTAGTCTAGGCACTACAATTATAATCCATTCCTACTTAAGACCTTATATTCACAACATGCAAACTCTACCTAGTACTGCTATCACTATCGACTTCTACTTTCCACACAAAAACCAAATTAGATTTATCTCAACTTATCTACTATCTAATTATACACAACTCAGGCTCAATATACAACAACAAATCATAGACTGAATTAAACAAGCACAAACCAAACAGATATACCCAATCATCATCAGAGACTTTAATTATAACCTTAGTCAGAACCTCCTGTCTAATCTTTCCAAATATCTTACTAATAGTAACTTCATTCCTACTATTAACTATCTCCTTCTACACATACCTACCTGGCAGAGAGCTAACTCAAGTAGCCAAATAGATGAAATATGGATTCTTAGACAACTAATTCACATATTCAGCACTCCAATACTTTACAATCCCGAACTTATCATACTCAGCAACTATCAGATAATAGAAATCTACTGGCTTTTCAACCCAATATACAAACTCTCAAGACTCACAAAATAATCATGTCACAAAATCTATAGTTACAAAGCTATGAATATCAAAAAGTAGAACAACTTCCAAACAGCAATCACATCCTACCTTACTCAACAAATAGATACTATTATAGATACCAATACATAAATTGACAAACTATAGCATATTCTCCAAATAGCTATACTTATATCAGCAAACAAAAATATACCCTTCTCTTACTAAACTAACAAAACCTACAAAACCTTCTCTCCTGCTGCAACTAAACTTTACAATGCTCTTAACAATATCAATAATATCATACAAACTCTAACCAAACTCAATGAAATACCAGAAGACCTAGCTATTACAAACACAATACTAAACCTCAACTACAAAATTACTCAAATTAATAACAATACTGATCTTGAAATCTCTCTGATTCTACTATACTAACTATTGCTTTCTAATATAACTTCTTTTATACAAAACCTCAAAGCATACCAGAAAACAATTTATACAGCATAAAATATTAAGAATAATACCACACAAAATGAACAAATTTAATAAAGAATAACTAAAAGATATAACAACTTTACTAACAATACTACTTTAATAATCAACAGCATTCTCAAATGATATCATAAATCTGCAATTTTTTATAATATTCACATTGTATTAGAACTAATACATGAACTCACACAAATCAAACAACAGATCAGAGCTCACTATGAATAATAGACAAAATATAACCCTTTTGACCTATCAGAATAGTCTAACTGGCAACAAGAATACTAGCCTAGACTATATATTCAATAATCCTAGTACTAGACTTAGATGAACTCATCACTTCTCATGAACTACTTACTATTATTAACAACTCTTCATACAACAAAGTATCTGGCCTCATACTAATATCTAATGAAATAATCAAAAAAGCTGATAACACGTTCCATAAACTACTCCTACTACTACTTAACAAGTGCCTCATTACACAAAAGATATCTAAGAATTAGAAACAAAACAACATCTTCCCCATATCCAAGAAACTAATATTCATAGGAGAACTGAACTATACTCACACAATTACTCTTATTGAACATATACAGAAAATCTACACTAAAATTATTACTAACTATATAAATACTATACTTAACCAATACTCTATCTTAAACCTATACAACTATATTGCTCTACTATATTTGACTACTACTACACCTATTCAAATACTACAACATATCTTAGAAAATGTCTCCTCACAAAATAAAGAGATCTGGACCCTATCACAGGACATGAGTAAAGCCTATGATACAGTTCATATCCTACTACTAATAAAAGCTCTCAATAGAATCAAGATTCCAAAAACAATACAACAAATTATCTTTGATATCTACTCACAATGTCAAAACCAAGTTATTACTAACCTCAGAAATACAGATTTATATATAGTACAAGATAGCATTGATCAAGGCGAAACAATTACTTCTATACTATGGCGCATATACTATGACCCACTTCTCTCTACTATTTCTAATACTTACAAAGGCTACATGCTCTCTACAACTACTAACCTAACTTCTTCTTCTAACAAAATTACTTCTTTCAATTCTTCAGTACTAGCATATATAGATGATACACTTTGGATAGTACACACACTACTTCAACTTTAACAAATTATCAATACAGCATCATCTTTTTATAAACTCGCAAAAATCAATATCAATCCTACAAAATCCTTCCTATGCACTAACAACAACTCTCCTAATAAGCTTCCTATATACTTCAACAATACTATTCTAACTCTTATTAAGCCTAAAGATACTTTTAGATTCCTGAGATACTATTTCACTACTTACAAAAATCACATGTCTATTTATAAAATCA